AAAAAAGTTAATCCCTTGATTCGGCCAGACCTGTTATTATATTATTAACTTATTGGAAAAGACTTGAGTGCCCTTCTTTAAGTAAGAGGCACTCGAACTAATATAACAGTACACATCAGCATTCTCAACAAGTACAAAGACTGAAATACCCCTTCACTAACACCACTAACAGTAACTATTCCAGAAGGACAAGTATATAGCAATTTTAGATTAATAATAAGTAGAATGGGAGGTGGAAAAGCACTAACCCAGGTCACAAGATTCTCCTGCCCAGAAGGTTGTGACATATCAACAGGTTTTCTTCCAATTAGCAACTCCAGGAGGACAACCCCATAGCTGTATACATCACTCTTTACTAGTAGATGCCCAGTCATGGCATACTCAGGGGCTACATACCTAGATCCATTTGATAAGACCATATGAATACCTTATAACAACTTCAGATTATAAAAATAAAGTGTACTTCAGGAGGAAGAACCAGAGAAACTTACCCAAATGTGCCCATCACACGAGTGGACAGATAATTTGCCTGGCCTTCAGGTGCCTGCTTGGCTAGGCCAAAGTCAGCAACTTTAGCATGAAAGTTGTTCTCCAGTAATATGTTTGATGCCTTAAAATCTCTGTGGATGACACAAGGTTGTGAATCCTCATGTAGATATGCAAGCCCCCTAGCAGCATCTAGGGCAATCTTCATTCTGGTATCCCAGTCCAGGGGACAATTTACACCTAAGGGACCTGAAGAAAATACTGTTCATTTAACATCATCTGTAAAATCTCATAAAGAAGCACTCAAGGTTTCCCTCATGCTTCATAAGTAAAAACTGAATACTCATTAAAGGCAATTATTGTTATAAAGATATCAAGGAAAATGTAGAAAGCTGTGACACAAGAAAGTGAAATACCATGGAGCCAGGACTCTAAGCTTCCATTGGGGACAAGTTCATAGCAGAGGAGATTTTGTGAAGAGTCGCGACTGCTATAATAGCCTATGAGTTTTACTAAATTACGGTGATGCAGCCTGCTAAGCATCTCAACCTCAACCAAGAACTCTTTATCACCTTGTTGTCCTCCACTAGTAAGTTTTTTTATTGCAACTGCTGTTCCATCACTTAATACACCTTTGAAAACCCTGCCAAATCCACCTTCTCCTAGCACACTTGCAGGTTCAAAGTTATTTGTTGCTTCTTTAAGCTCTTCATATTGCAGAAATCGTGTACTAGTGGGGTGGGGAAGAGATCCTCCTGTTGGAACTGTAGTTGTAGTCCTTGTCTTTGCTGCAAAATATAGCTCCAAACGTGTATAGTTTCATAAAATAAAAATATAGACATAAAATTATAATGGTAACACTGAAAACAAAATCCAATTGAAGTCCTAGTTTCCTTCATTCCCGTTTCTAGTTAAAGCAGCAGACTTTTAGTGTTTTTGATGTTTTTCCTTGGATCAGTGAGTTGGTTTATCTCAGGGAGAACCATTTCCCCTGAAAACCCCCCATGTGTTTTATTCATCCAATGATTAGTTTAAATGTTGTGAGTACCAGTAGTCACAACTTGCACTTATGTGAAATAGTGATCTTAGAAAACATGTGAGGCTCCCAGGGCCGAATTACTTGCTGCTGTACAAGGAATCCAGCTCACAAATCAGCTAGGCATAGAGCATCTGATTATTGAAGGGGACTCCCAAGTGACAGTGGGTTGGTTGAAGGATCCAGACTCTGTGATCTGGGGTTTTAGAGATCTTCTCAAAAAGGTTAAATAGCTAACAAGGAATATGACAATCAGAGTTCAGTGGGTAGGCAGATCAGCAAACTCAATGGCTGATTCACTTGCAAAACAGGGGGTTCTTCAGGCTACTTTATTTTGGGCTTCTGTGTAATTTCTTTTGTACTTATAATTCTGTAACTAGTCTTAAAGGAAAGGTCGCACCTTGTGCCTTTACATGGGTTGCATGTAACTCTTATTTGCTGGTTTAATAAAATCTTACTCATTTATCAAAAAAAAAAAAACATGCGAGGCTCATGCCTTAAGACTGACCTCCAAGTGAGGCTCAAAAAACACTGAGAATCTGAGGCTCACACCTAAAGCATAAGGTACACACCTCACACCTTGAGATGTCTTATGTCAAAAGCACATGAATCATAAATTAATTAAGGTAATGTCCTAATCATAAAACCAAGTTAAAAACCAGTTATAAGTTTTTCATGTGTGTGTTTGCACCTTGTATATCTATTTTAACATTTTTAATACTCCTTTGAGGTTTGAAATATTGGGGCATGATTCCCTATGGTAGGGATTTGTAGGAAAGAAATAAAAAGGCAAGATATTTTTTGAGGGGAGGCTAGCAGCAAGGGTCAAGCCTTTAATTGGGTGCTTGGCATAATCGGTTATACATAACATTCTTGCTTAAACTCAACTTTGATGGCTGCAGCCTTGGAAATCCAGGGCCCTCAGATGTGGGGGGAGTTATTAAAGATCATGGTGGCAATATCATTCTAAGCTTTTCAGGTCCAGTGGGTCAAGGAAATTCTTTTAGAGCTGAACTTCTGGGTTTTGTTCAAGGATTGAAGTTGTTGGCTAGGCAGGAAATGAGGAATGCGGAAGTAAAGGGTTGACTGTCAAATGGTTTTAACTTTTAAGATGGATGACAATTCAAAATCAAACCCATGGAAATTCAGATATCTAGTCAGACTGGCTCAATCTCTAGGTGTTGCCTTGATCGCTTCATTCAAGTGGGTGCCTTGGACTGCCAGCATACTGGCTGATTCTTTGGCCAAGACTGGGGCTGGAAAAGATTGTTTAGATTGGGGATGCCAAGGACCAGCTTGTAATATGTATATGCAATCTGTTTTCTGTTACCTGTAATAGTTTCTGCTTTATTTTACTTGTGGCAAGGCTCCTCTTGGGAGGCCCAGTGTTGTACCTTTCTCTGCTGCATATTTTTTTTGTGCAGTTTGGCTTTGAATAAAATTTTATCCCGTTACTTGTCAAAAAAGAATAGCATTTTTTCTTTTACAATTAATTTCACCATTGCAAATAAAAATCACTACTTTGAGATTTCATCTAATATTAACATCTTTTTATAATCTGGAAGGATTTGTAGTAATATAAGTTAGTCTTGTTTAAGTTCTTGGAACTTTATAATCCTTGCCGATATGAAGATTGATTCATCTATATCCTTTTACATAAAAACAACCCTTTGTGCATAGTTTTATCATTTATACATTTTCTTATTTTAGTTCATTATTTTAAAGGGTAGGATCTCATGAGGCCTAAGCCTCATGCATCAGAATATCCTCGAGCAACACTTAACATATGCCCTTTTTAAAACATTGGCATTTAGGTATATTGGCCCCAACAGAGGTTATCAGGACTCAAAGGTGACTTTGTTGCATCTATTGTGAGATCATCACTCACTATCCCAAGAAAGGAACATAGTTGATGTTACAAAACCACATACAACATGTTGAAGAACTAGCTTCAATAAAATTTAGATCCATTGCATCTCTTACCAGGTAAAACACCCCCTCCTCAAAAAGAAGGTTTTTTGACAAGTTAGCAATTGTATAAGATAGAATGATCATGCAGAGATGTGTGGGAATCATCATCTTATGGTCATATGGGAGGAGAAAAATGCTCAAGTTTTTACTTTTACAGGGAAGGATCATATAGCAAAATAGCTTATAAACATCTTACAGTTAGAATTTCTCAATGATACAAACTAGGGATCAATTTATAGGTTTTCACATGGAGGACCTAATTTGAGAATGGTCTCACATTGCCAACCCATCCACATTAAGGCAGGGTTTATTAGAGATGACCAGATGAGTTGGCAATGTGAGACCATTCTCAAATTAGGTCCTCCATGTGAAAATCACTTAAACCTCCCCTGACATTTGGGGTAAATACTTACTGACCCCTTCTGTTAGTCCAACGTTAGAAACCTAACATTAATCTACATTTCATGCTTTGAAAGTTTTCAAAATACCCAAATTGCCCATGGATGATGAGATTCAGTTTTCTTGAATCATGGGTAGACAGTGTTGTTGGTTGATCCATTGCCTCCTCTCTAGGCCTCCACTCTGGCATGGACCTCCCTGTTGGCAAACAAAATCCCCGGCAAACTGCTCCCCATAAACAAGAGGACTCCATTTCTGAAACACTGTTTGGATTGGATCACAAATATGGTTGTTAAATATGAAGCATTGGCTTGGTTGCATGGAGAATTGAGGTTATTGCATCTCTCAGGCTATTAGTTATCTGGAACAACAAGGCCTCCAAGTGATGTTAGATCATTAGCGCACTTCATATGTATTTTTCCTTTTGTTTGCCGAGTTACTCTGTTTCAACAATTTTTTTTGGTGAAGCTATATTTCAATGATTTGAACAAATGGAAAAAAGAGATGCAGTTTAATAAAGGTTACCCACCTCCATGCAGCCAAGCCAATGTTTTATTCCCCCCCCCCCCCAACAAATCTAGGCCTTTTCTATTTTTTGAGTTCCTCCATGCCTTTGCATGCTATGGCTCTATCTCAGCTCTCAGCTCCCCAGTTGAGTCCATTGTGGGTTCTACTTGGCTGGGGTAACTACACAGACGGCTCATTCCATGCTGCAAGATGATGAGAAAGCTGTTGCCCTTCTTTTGCTATTGGCAACCATAAGGTATGTCATGTCTGATTCATTTATCTTCCGAGGTCTATCAAGTCCCTCCTTCCATCTCTGTTTTTCTTGATAGAATTTTTGTTATAGCCTTATAGGCTTCTGATTTTGGTGTTATTTGTTGATTTTCAACATTCAAGACATGAGATATGACTGGTTCCTTGCAAGCAACATTGTGTGTGGTTGGGAAGCTGGTCCAATCATAGTGGTGGCTTGAGTCATAGAAGTCCCAATGTCCCTTTCCCTTCACTACCATCCACACTGTTGAATGAGAAAGAATCTTAGGATCTGCTTTACACTGCTACAGGGCATGTCATGAGGACAAAGATGAACATGAGTTTCCTAAGAACCACCAAGGACATGAACTTCTAGGTGCCCCCCGAAAGCCCTCTCTAGTCCCTGTTCTAGGGCTTCCAGTGAAGAACCCCAATGTTAGTGTCGACTTCTACTCAAACCAGGCTGTTAAAGTCTTAATTACCAGCACCTATAATCAAGTAAACTTTCTTCAGCTTTCTAGTTCTTTATTACAAGATAGGATTCAACAACAATATTGTGGAGCCAAAGGAAGATCCGGAGGTTCCATCCATGAAAGACATTGTTGCAGGAGATTGCCCAGATGATAGAGCAGAAAAAACGTCTCCCGGTTCAGGATATGCCAGTAAAGTTGTTTTTCTTTTTTCTTGGTTACAATGCTTACATTTATTTATTTATTTTGGTAAGTTTTTACAACTAATTTCAGGCATTAACACTTTTTCCTGAAATAACTGTTGAAGCCTTGAGAAGAGCTTTGTAGGAATATCAAGAAGTGTTGAGTACAGAAAGGCAAGGTGATATAAGCAGTCATAGTTGTCAAGGCAACGCCTAGGCAACAAGGCGCCCTTGGAGGCTCGCCTCGCCCAGTCGCCAAGCAGTTTTGTATATTGCCTTATAAAATACTTTTATATTGTTTTTTTTTTTTGAGATTATATTTATAAAATAGACACTATTAACAAAAACATTCTGTTCATAAACTAATTTCTTTTTATTATTTTCTTATTTGTTAGGGTTTAATCAACACAAACATTGCTAGCTGCTGTATTGAACCGTCAAAGACTTCAAAATCTGAACCAATAAGTAAGGGAAGAACTTAAAATTTTGTTTAATCACCACATTTCTTCTTCTTCCACCTTTTCTTTTCTTCTTTTCCTATAACAAAAATAGGGGTTCGGCCCCTATATTTTTTTAATTTTCTTTTCTTTCTTCTTTTTCTTCTCATAAATGTGTTGATTTTCTAGACTTAAAGATGGAGTTTATAATTTTCTTATGAAAATTATGGATATTTATTAAAGAAAGATGGTTATGGAACCTAGGGAACTAACCCTAGGATGTGGTTTTTACTTTAAAAAAAAAAAAAAAATCCATCACCTAGCCTCGCCTTGAAAACTATGTAAGCAGTATAATATTGGTAGAGAGAAAATAATACCTTTTTGAAGGAATGGATAGAAAAAGGTAATTTGGTAATTTAATACTCTCCATCCATTCAAACTAACAGAGGGGATCAATAAGTACAGTTTCCCCCAAATGTCAGGGGAGGTTTTTGGAGAGGTCAAAGTTCAGGGGAGGTTTAAGTAATTTACCCATAAATTTCAGGCTTATTCACAATAATCATTAATCTAAAATACCATGTTCCGGTGTAACATTATTTTTTGCATGAACTGGTTTGTGTTGTTCAGAAGAAAAGTAAACTGGAAACACGTGACTAATCAACAATAACAAGATCTTACTGCAAGGATGTATATAAATGCTCTGAAATCAGAAGGAATGGATTTGAAGTACATACCGATTTCTTTGGAAGGTGACTCCTTTGCTTGACCCAATGTGCATGTATAAATAATTAGCACAGATATAATTATAATTATCAGGACACCAACACCAATACCAAGAATGAGAGCCAAGTTTGTATGTTTCCCACTGTTAGCAACAGATGAAGTAGAAGGGAAGGGCAAATGAGTTGGAGCAACAACAGGTGACATAGCTGAAACTGGGGCTGTAATCAAATGTAAAGGTAAAAATTCAAATATAGAACAAATTTCATTAATAACCTAAGATTGTTATGTTCATAAATAAATCAAGTGAAACAACAAAATGGTTACGAATGCACACAAGATTCCCCCCCCCCCAAGATTAAAAAAAAAAGGAAAAGGGAAAAACTGGAGCAGTTGCATTGCAAGTGTTGAAATATATGCAATTGGGCCGGGTTACATTACCAGGGGTAATCTGGTCATTTTACATGGAAATTGAAATATTATAAAATAATGAAGAGAGGCTTCACAAGATGATGAAAGACAACAAATCAGTAGAGCAAACAGGCCAACATTTATGGTTGAAAAGAAGAGTCCAAAAGGACCTAAATTCCACCATTTTTCAAACTTAAAGCAACACTTGTGACTCTAAAGTCTAAAACCCATCACTTCATTTTAGTGTTGTACAACCTTAAGGAGCTTGCACAGAAATGGAGGGGGCGAGGAGCAAGATATTCTCTTACATTTCGACAAGTCCATTTTTGGTTCTTGTTAATGGATCATCCACTGAATTGTTTCAGGCTTCTAGAGGCATACATCAGGGAGATCCACTCTCACCATTGCTATTTGAGCTTGTTGTTGAAGCTCTTAGCAAATGGTTAAACTTAAAAAGGGGGAAAGCTAAGATTAATTGGAGGATCCTAGGTAGGTGTGGACACAGGAGAGCCAAATTTTAAAGGATATGGAAAACTAAGAAACAAAATGTAGCATACACGGTTGCAGTAACTATAGGGACATCAATCTTATAAGCCATACTGTGAAACTTTGGGAGAGAATGAATAAACAAAAACTAAGAAACAAAATGAATGATACAGGAAAAAGGTCCAAAACCAATTGGGTCTTCATGCCAGAAAGATCAGCAATTGAAGTTATCACTGTAATTTGATGATGTATAGAGAAATTGAGAGAGGCAATCATCACCTAAAATTTTCAATTTGGATAAAAAAATATGATACAGAGTTTGGCAACAAAACCTTGTGGATTTGGGAACAATCCCTAAGTTAGTGCATTCACCTGATTAGAAATATATATAATGGAGAATTAATTGGGAAAATGCACCTAGGAAAATACAAGAGTTTTAAATAGCCGTAGGTTAAAACTAAAGCTAGTGGTTATGTCATATCATTTCACATTATTTATAAATGGGTTAACTAGGAATTTACAAGAAGTTCACGGTATATGTTTCTTTCCAAAGATATAGTCTTAATTGACAAGAGTAGAGAGTGTGGATCAATGAAAATTTTGAACTACAGAAACATTCTGTAGCAAGGAGTACATTCATGGGAATCTAGAAATAGCCCCAAGAGTTGGCAAAACAGGGAAAATAGACCAAGGGCATATTTGTTTCCTCTTAAATCATATCTCTTAAGAGGAATCTTTTAACTTTAAGAGAAAAATGGTTGTTCGTTTCCTAAAGTGCAATTATACAATTTTTTGTTTTCCAATGATACCCCAAAAGGACAAATAAAAATTCTCATATATGAGGTCAAAATGGGTATTTGATAATTTTCAAAATTCAGAATTCGGAACAACATTCTCTGCATTCAGAGTTCAGAGGAAAGAAAATTTCACCAATACCATTACCAATATACCTCTTAGTGTAATTATTGCACTTTCAGATGTCAGACTTCAGAGCAAACGAACAGGCCCTAAGATGGTAAGGGCCTATGCATAGAAAACCACCTGTTCCACCAAGAATTGATCCAATGCAAGTTGAGTGTCCTAGAAGAGCTAGGAGAAGGCAGAAAGGACATGAGTTAAGGCTGTAAGAAAATACCTGAGGATTTGCGCGTTAGCAAAGAGTATGAAAGTTGAGAGAAGTTTGGCAGATTGGAGGAGAAGAAAGATGATCTGATTTCTCAGATTGAGGCAATAAATAGTAAAGAGGTAGAAGGAACTTTAGGTGAAGGTTAAAAGGAATTGAGATGGTATTTGAATAAAGAGCTAGGGGAGACATTATTGATAAAGGAAATATGTTGGAAGCAAAAGTCAAGAGAGAGATGGATCAAAGAAGGTGATGGAAATACAAAATTTTTCCATGCCATTGCAAATGGAAGGAGAAGGGAGTGCATGATTACCTCATTACTGGTGGGGGAAAGTGAAATCACGGACCAAGGTGAGATTGCTAAAGCATTCTCTGAGTATTTTAGGTCAATTTATAGAAGGCCCCCAATTGAGAGGTGGAGGATTAAAGGCAATGATTAGGAGATGTTGGGGGAGACTCGAGTCCAATTTCTGGAAAAAAAGGTTTGAAAAAGGAGAGATTAAGGAAGCAATCTTTTCTATGAATAGATCAAAATCACCAGGGCTTGATGGTTTCACAATGGCATTTTATCAAGACTGTTGGGACATAATTAAAGGAGATCTGATTAGAGTGTTCAATGAATTCTATAGAAGAGGGGTGATAAGTCCAGGAATGAACTCTACTTTTTTAGTACTGATCTCAAAGAAGAACAATGCCAACCAACCAGGGGATTTCAGGCCAATAAGTTTAATCACTAGTATTTACAAGGTGATAGCAAAGGTGCTATCTTTGAGGATTAAGAAGGTGATCCCTCCACTTGTTTCTCAAACTCAGGGGGCCTTTGTGCAAGATAGACAGATTATTAATCAAATCTTAACTGCCAATGAATGTGTGGAAGCTCAAAAGAGATTAAAGAGGAAAGGAGTGGCTATCAAACAGGATGTGGAAAAAGCCTATGATTTAGTGGATTGGAACTTCTTCATTGATATTATGAGGAGGTGTAGCTTTCGAAATTTGCGGGATAAATGGATCAAGGGATGCTTACAAACTAGTCACTATTCAGTAATAGTTAATGGGACAATGTATGATTTCTTTGAAGGATTCCGTGGGCTCAGGCAAGGTGACCCCCTTTCTCCCTTTCTATTTACTTTGATTGTTGAAACCCTAAGTAAATTGATTACAAGAGCAAATAGTGTGCAACTATTCAGGGGCTGGTCAGTTGGGAGGGATAATGTTTTGGTCACTCACTTACAGTTCACAGATGATATTCTTATTTTTTGTGATGGAGAAAGTAGGGAGGGAGTGGAAAATTGAGGCTGGTTGTGAAACTCTTTATGAGGATGTCTAATTTGAGGATTAATTGGTCAAAGAGCTTATTGGTTGGAACCAACATTGAAGAGGATGAAGTGAGATTTTTGGCAAATTCCCTAGGTTGTGAGAAAGGTGAGTGCCCAATGAAATACTTGGGTTTACCCCTTGGAGACAACCCTAGATTTGCTAGTTTTTGGTCTCCGGTGATGGAAAGGATCGAGAAGCGCTTGGCGGTGTGGAAAAGGAACTATCTCACTGGGGGGAGAATAACCCTAATTAAGTCTACTTTAGCAAATCTTCCAGTGTACTACATGTCAGTATTTAGGATGCCACAAGGGATAGTGAGGAAAATTGAAAAAATCATGAGGGGTTTTCTTTGGGAGCTAGAGGTAAAAAAGAATGATCTTTTGGTTAGATGGGAATTGGTGAGGAAGTTGAAGGTGGAAGGGGGTTTGGAAATAGGTAATGTTAGACTGAAGAATCAGGCTTTGCTTTGCAAATGGCTTTGGAGGTTTCCAAATGAAAATGAAAAGTTATGGCACAAAGTGGTTGCAAGCATTCATGGCATGTCAAGCAACGGATGGGATGCTAGAGGTCTTCGTAGGGCTACCTTGGCTGCTCCCTGGTAGGGATGGAAATTTTCCCCATTTCCCCGATCCCCGTGGGGATCTGGCCCGAATGGGGTGGGGATGGGGATGATTTTACCCCCCGTGGGGACGGGATGGGGAAATTTTCATCCTCGTTAGAGGGGATGGGGCATGGATAGGGAGAGCACTCCCCGTCCCATGAGGTCCCTGATCCCCGCCCTATGGGATCCCCACTAAAAATATGGTTGATTATTTTCTAATAGGATTGTAAATTTTATTTATTTTAATTTTATTTTTTTAAAGAAAATAAAAAACAAAAACAAAATGGTT